TTTCGTCATTCTTTGCATGTGCCTAGTACCTTATGTGGGACATATGCACATGCAGTGGTTTAGCGATTCGATTCAAAATGGCCGACTGGCAGCCATCTTGTTTTTTGAAAATGTTGTATTTTGGACATGCTTTGTCAGTTTTCATTCAAACTTGGTACATAGATTATACATGTTAGGATACATGTCCATGATGATTTATTTCACAATTGGATCAAAGATGGCTGACTGGCAGCCATCTTGTTTTTTGAAAATGTTGTATTTTGGACATGCTTTGTCAGTTGTCATTCAAACTTGGTACATAGATTATACATGTTAGGATACATGTCCATGATGGATCAAAGATGGTCGACTGGCAGGCTTCTTGTTTTGTTTTTTTTATGCGGTATCTTGGACGTGCTCCGTCAGTTTTCATTCAAATTTGGCACATACATGTACTTTATACATGTTAGGATGCATATCCATGACAATTTGTTTCAAAATCTGGTCAAGGATGGCCGATTGACAGCCATCTGACTTTTTGGTCTTACTACTATATTTCCACAATTTATGTACCATTTTCATTCGTATTTGGCACATACATCATACATATCAGTGTGTTTCATAATCAGATCAAAGATGGCTGAATAACGGCTGTTTTTATTTTGGCCATATTACTATGACACGAAACACGTGTTTTGATGTAAATAAACAATCTGTTGTATACGCCACTTGGAACTCAAGTTTCAAGGACACGCTCGCGACAACCCCTCCGCTTTAATATGACGAGCACAAAGAGAACTTAACGGGGACTGTGTCATTTTCAATGACTTGTTTTTTATTGTTTCCTTAAGTAGTGCAATGTTAGTGTTCTTCCTAGTAGTATGAATTATGTGCAAAAGGTCAATTGACGATCCAAAAACTACCTTCTACCACCATTAGCACAGTAGATCCTAAGATAAAATGTTACTGTCCACATGTGTTAGTGTTCGACCAGGTCTGGTACTAGGAAGATATGAACTGGTTTCTGTGCAAAAAAAGTACTATATTGTTAAAGAACAAAATACAAGTATGCAGATTATATGGAACTTATGATTTTGTTTTTTTCCTCTGTAGCTTGTTTTTTGTTTACAGTATTATAAAGGTGATTCCAAAATCAAGTCATTCATCTGGGATCTCGTCAAGCCGCCAAATGAGGGTAGTTTCAAGTCATACAAGAATCACGCAGGTTTGTATTTTTGGCATTGAACATTTAGTTTACTCCAAAATGGGAATATTTCCAGAACTATAGGGGGATGCACTTGATCACGATGTGTGCATTGTTAGCAGCTAAGCACCAATGTTCGCAATCAATGGTACAAGAATGGCTTTGTTTACTGCTACTGTTATTACATACGCATGGGCGTTTCTTTTTCGAATAATGTTGTCAAGTAGATCATGAGTAGGACAATACTCATGGTAAGCCGAAGTTTAATAAACGTTTCATTGTGCTGGTTTATTCAAGATATTGAACTGAGCTATTAATGATGATATAGTTTGTCCCTCTCTGAGTGGAGCAAGAAGGCTCAAATGCTTATAAAACAAACGATCATTCACATTTCTGAAATAAGCTCAGTTCTAAATCATGCATTCATTTTAAAAACCTCATTCACTATTTGTTTACTATTTAAAATTAGTTACTTCTCCAATAATCTGTTGAAAAAAATAACATTTAATTTCACCCTTGCTAAAATCCATAACTCCTGCATCCATGTGAGGTTAAGAGCTACGCTATGCTACGCTACGCTATATCCTCTACCTTGTTTCTGATCATGATTGTTTTCTATTGCGTTCGCATTGTAGCTGCTGCTCATCCAGTGCAAAAAGGGAAAAAAGGAAAGAAAGGCAAGAGAGAAATTAAAGTGATGCCTGCTCTATTGGAATATGATTTCAATTCTAAGAATACCAATCCTGAAGAATTATTACAAGATCCTGGTTACAAAAATCACCTCAAGAGACATTGCAATAAGTGAGTTAGCCTGCCCTCTAAGTTTGACATGCAAAAGCTTTTGTTTATGTTGGTTCTTTGCGTTGCTGGATGTTTATATATATTATAGAAATTCAAGCAAATGAGTTGCCAAATAATATTGCTTGTATTACTAGGTAACTGACATATCTGTTTACCTATACCTAAATAGGGTGTTGTTGAGAGTTAGAATGTTGTACTACCTCAAGCAGGAAGTGGTTGGGGATCTAGCAGTAAAGATATCTCAAGGTGCTCATGTCAAGTAAGTATCAACGATCGATTGGGGGGAAATTTATTTATCGGTATACATGGGCTTACAACAGCGAAAGATATAGTAATGTAAGCAAAACACTAAGCAACTATACTCTAAGTAAATTCAGTCAAACTTTAACTAGTTTTTACAACCGTGGATTGTTCTGCTGAAAAGCAAAACATTTGTTTTACCTGAATTACTTTTTGCTTATTTTAACTTCTGTTAGTTACTCATGCTATGTATTACATTTTCAGTAATCTACAGATTCCTGCTCCAATTGCTGAAGGTGATCCACCTATTGGTTGGTGGGATGATGAAGCAGATATCTCTCTTATGGTGGGAGTGTACAAACATGGTAAGTCTTATTTATCATCTTAAATATGTGGCTCAAAATGGCAACACATACCACCTTATTTTGGAGGCCTCTGTATAAAAATATAACTGCTTGGTAAATGAGGCTTTTGTGTTCATGATCTTGGTGGTGTTAACTGTAATAAGAAAAATATCTAGTTTAAAAATATTGGCATATTTAAGTGCAAAGTAATAAAATACTCTGACCATCTTCAGTCTCCAAATTGCTTTGAGATTTCTCTTGCCTAGCTTGAAACAACATGTTAGTTCCTTCAATTCATACATTTTCTTTTCTTAACAGGTTATGAGAAGTATACACTGGTGCGAGGTGACCCCGCTCTGTGTTTCCTTGACAAGTGTGGGCCACCTGATGCCCGGGCTATTAGAATGGAAGAAAACGATGATGACGTTGATATGTAAGTTAGATCATGGTAAAGTGGAGTGAAGTGTTCTGCAAAAATAAACACTTTTGTTTCTCTCTCAATGGAAGTTAATTTTGAGTCGGTGGATAGTTTACAAGATCATGGCTTCTTTGAGGAATACGTTCAATAGATAAATTCCTGAGTTATACTGACCAGAGTGTCCGTGGTAGCTACATTTTGACAACACAACGTCAGCTAATTTTAATGAGACATTGGGGTCAAATATAGGTCAAACTGAATGTTTGCATATAGTCTAAACTCTTCAAAAATAGAATGCAAGGAGTGTAGCTAATGTATTGTGTTGATTTAACTACAGAGTTTTGTTAGTCAAGTGGGCATTGGCCATCACCAATAAAAATAATGCCTTGAACTTTTGTGTCGCATATGCAATGTATTCGTGACTTCTGGCAGATATATCTTATACAATAACATGTTTATTACCAAACTGAAGCTAGTATTTTAAAAATCTGCCTAAAGTGGCTTGTTCCTGATGAGTGCAAGTGTTTGATCACTCCATTTTTCCTCCTCGTGTTGTGAACATGGTGGTAGATAAGTAGCCAGAGAACGCAAGACTTTGAATCTAGTCTAATGTAGACTTTAAATGAATTTTGTAATTATATTTAGGAATTAGTAAACATTAAAGAAAGTGAGAACTCACTTGGCTCAAGTATACAGTTGATAATTTGTATCTTTGATGCATTTTTTCTAGGACCCTTGACGATGACCCAGAATTTAAACCTATTCAGAAATTAATGAGAGAGGACTTGGAAGAAGACTCTCTGTCACCATCCAGCATATCAACTCCGCAGCCATCACCTCGACCAACCAAGTCTATGCATAAAAAAATAGAGCCACCTACTGGTAAGTGTTCTGATTCAGTATTTTGCTATATTGGAAATTGTAAAAATGTCTTGATTTTATGTTTTGCAATTGGGAAATGTATATTGACGATGCCTTGTATCCTCCACAGCTCCAGGTAAATTACCTTTTCCAGCAGCTTCAGATTTAAATACACGGTTGAGAAGATTAATTACTAGTTACCAAAGAAATCATAAAAAGCAACAAGTGAAACAAGCTCAGAGGGCAAGGGTAAGCTCAAATTATGTGTTTTGGTATATTATTAGGGATTGCATACAAGTCGTACATAATGTAAACAACTAGTCTGAACTGTTTTTGTGCTGCTGCTTGAAATAAAAGCTATGCATGTCTCGGCTACTATACTTTAAAATATTAGGTGCCATAGACCCAATGTGTGCCATCCAATGTGTAATATGTGACATGTATATGAAATACTGGAACATTAAAATCTTATTTTATGCTTTGACTTGACATTTTGATGTTTTCAAGTGGTCGATTGCCATCAATAAATCAAATGCCTTCATAAGAATGATTTTTTTCTTTGAATAGAAAGAGGCTGAGAGAAAACACAGATTTGAAGAAGCTTTGAAACAGAAAGAATTGAAGAAAAAAGAACAAGCACAAAGGTGAGCGACTCATGCAAATCTGTTGTTCTAGTTGAAGTGAAACAAATAATGGGTTAACCTTTGTCGGACAATTTAGTAAATAAAATTGTTTGAGGGTGTTGACTGGACATGTTTATTGACAAAAATGTTATTGAAAGCACTTGGATTGAACTGCCGAGTTAACCAGTAGAAATAGTATACAGATATTCAGACCTATGCTTGTTTAAATGTGGCTGTTTAATGATGATTCGCCATGCTAATACTGAGATACAAACATAGTTCATTGGAACATGTTTGGGATCACTGAGTGGAAATCTCTTCTCAAAGTAGAAACTGAAAACAGCCAATCATCATGCACAATTAGAAAAGTAATACAGTCAAACCTGTCTATAAAGGACAGTCAGTGGACTCGGACTTTCACACTCTCGCCATGCAGTCTTATTCCCCAGTCTCTTACACATTCCATCACAGGCGGTAATCAGTCGCATCGTTAGTATTGTCGATTGTACACCGTCACAAAATGCACAGGCAAAGTTGTCGTGTTTGAAAAAACAAACAAGCATTAAAAATGAAGAAGTATTGGTAATAAACAAAATTTACCAAACTCATAACGATTGCTCCAACTCTCGATGTTGAATCAGAAAGTCAAACGAACCGGAAATGAAACACGGTGATCGTACACGCAATTTTACAGTTATTTGTTGCAAGCATCGACGTGTCAAAACTGCCCAAACGAATTTTCTCGATTGCGAATTATTGATATTACTGTTTATATAAAAGAGGATCAAAATAGAAAACATCTTTCGTTGAGAATAACCCTGTGA